AATCGTTCGATGGGCTGAATTGCACAAAACGCATGATCGCACCGGCTAGTCTGGTGCGCGTTGCTAATTATTTTATCAAACGCTCTGCAAGCAGCAAAAGCTTGTTGCAAAAAATTCATCACTATTAGGAATTCAAACACTTTTTAAGCCGAACAAAACCGATGGGAAAGAGAAATTACTTCCACTTCCTACCCTTCGCAGCCTTCTTGCTTGAATTTGAGATGGGATCTGCTTCTTCCCCTCGATCTACGATACGGTCATATCAGGACGATTAAAAAAAACAGCTTTTAAGCCACAAAATTCACTCGTACCTCAGCACTGTTCGGTTTGAAATATCTTCGCAAGTAATCCTTGACCAGCAAAAAGAATGCATTACTAATCCTTTCGAACTGCAGCGCCCTTTCCAATGAACTAGCACTAAACATTGAAATAAACAGGTTTTACACACTTCACGATCACACTTTATTATAATAATTAAGCCGCCACCGGCTTGCTCGTAAATAACCCCCAAAACAGGAAGCCACCGACAACCTTATCAGTGGATGTTTGCTGTTAGCACTTGCTGCAACTCATGCTATTTCTAGACTGCCTCCGTCTCTTACTGAGAGTGAAACACCAACGGATTTGACCAAAGTTTTCTCTCTTCTTCAATTTTCCAGTAAAATTATCGCGTTAGCGGTGTCTGAGATCATTTGCATTTTCATTGCATGAGAGTGAAGATGATTTCAGACACGTTCGGCCTACCAACGGCCGTAAAGAACCGACTGACAAATTCACCTTCTGCTTTGGCCTTACTTGGACCGTCCAATTTTGGCTCGGCTTTGTATGGCATCGCAAGCAAACACAAACAGATGAAACAATGTTTGATTTTCACACTCGAATACGCCAATTTGTTTGTTAAAAAATCTTTGAAACATTCAAAAATCCAGGTAAAAATTAAGCCAGCGGTTGGTCACACTTTCTAGAATTGCTGTCTTCATCACTTGAAGAGTGTGGCCAGAGAAGTTTCTTTCCACAGATCCAAATTAAGGCGAACAATTCCTTTTTATGCGTTTTTTGCAGCTATGCAATGTAGAAAACGAATATTGACGAGATTGTCTGTGTGTTCGTCTGCACCGATTTTTCATCTCGAGACCGGCAAAAGTTACAGGGCTGGAACTTGGGGGGTATAATCTACATACACGTACGAGCCCCCATCCCTAAAATTGGCGCCAAAACCCGCGTGGTACCCGCGTATGGGCCCGCCAAAGTTTTTCCGGGGC